GTATTGATAAACTGCTAAGATCTTTAGACGTTTAGATTACAATTCTCACTGTTTACCATTGATCACCTAGACTAGACAAGCGGTATCAGGTGGTGCCCTCCCTCCTTGAGGTCGAGGGTTCAAGTCCCATGGTGAACATAGGTGGAATTAGGTGTTAGTTTAGGTTAGGAGTAGATTATAATATTTGTATTTGCCGGTTCAAAAAAAAAAAAAAAAAAAAAAAAAAAACAATTATACTATGCAAGTCAGCAGTTTCAGTTAGTGACTCTGTAGCTGATGCTTTAAAATTGTTGTATGCGTTTTCATAGCATTTTGTATTATATTGTCCATATACTTTGTGAGATTTTATAATTTTCTTACTTTCCCTTTCTCCGTAGGGTAAGGGGGAATCTTCAAGGTCTCGTCCTTGACATGAGAATGCATGAGAAAGAGAGGCAGCAGACCATTTTCCCAATTTTTTCCAGAAGAATTAGGATGGTTTGCTTCTTGTCACCTCTACTGTGGATTTATCATTTGGGTTTTTGTTTTGATAGTTGTATCTTTGATTGCCAAAAACAGGGGAAAACAATATGAATGGTTTTTCAGTTAATTAATACCACATGTAAGGAATATGATGTAAGTCGTAATGTTGTTTTTATTACTTTTGTTATTTTGTTGATTTGGTTCATGTGATCAAGAGAAAAGACTAAAATGTCAAGGTTCAATGTTTTTCTGCTACTTTTTCAGTAAAGGTGAAATTGTAAGTGATATAACTGGGAAAGTTAATTTTGTAGCCACAACTTTATCCATTTCCTTGCTGCTATTTTGGTTATAAAAGCCACCAATTTCATAATGTTTGTGTTTCTGTGTTGCTGTTACAACATATGTTGTTGGTAATGCTTGTTGATTTTTTATTACACAACAGACAAATTCATTTTTTTGTTCTCTTGTTTCCTTTTTCAAATTGATAGACAACCAGAGGAATACCACTCCCTTCTTGGGCCACCCGACATCCCATTCCCATCACATCATTAACAAGAGATTGGCATTGGGACTTTTGAAAAGAATGTAGAAGAGGAAGCAAGCTAGAAAAAACAATATGAATTCATTGTAAAGTGGTGGCACAAATACATACATACCCAATATATATTCTCTTACCATTGCTTTTGTGGATGACAATACTATAAATCAGTGTTGCAGAAATCGGCCTAATCGGCCGATTAATCGGCGATTAATCGCTAATCGGACCTCCACCGATGAGATTTATTGCTAATCGGTCACTATAATCGGGTTTGGTCAATACAGGTCAAAGTCGGAATTAATCGGACCTAATCGGACCAAATCGGACCTAATCGGGCTTAATTGGACCTAATCGGGTTTGGTCAACGCAGGTCAAAGTCGGACCTAATCGGCCCTAATCGGACCAAATCGCCGGTTAATCGCTTATTTTGTAGGATTAAAGTTAGATTTATAAATTTTTGAATAATTTTCTTAATAATTAATGGTCCCCGATTAATCCTTAATCGCTAGTCCACCGATTAGCGGCCGATTAGCGATTTCTGCAACCATGCTATAAATAGGTAGATTTTTCAAACTAGGATCTTGTAATAAGAAGAAACTAAAAGTGGATGCTATAATAAACAAATCAATAAAAGAAATTTCTATTCCTTGCACTTAAACCTAAAGATCTAGTCTTTCAAAAATGGTATTCATAAGCATTCAAACCTTGAAAATGAATGCAATCACACATATAGGTACACAATTGTCAGGCCCATTGCATAGAATACGTGAAAACAAATCAACATGGTCCTTTAAAGTTATTGAAACAAAGAACCAAAGAAGATTAAATTAAAAAATTTGTTATGGATATGGTCATTGTATGGATTTAATTACTGGGCGACCCACCACAATTTTAAGGATGGAAAAGATAAATGATGAATTACTGGACTATATCCATAAAAGCATAATAGATTTAGAAAAAATGAGTTGTTCAAAAAGGTTTTTCTTTATTCTTTTAATTGGTTTGTTTTTAGAATAAATGAGAAAGTGTCGGACAATTGGGTTGATTAGTTAAAAAAACACAACTATAACTATATCCTTCCTAACAAATGAAAATGTTTCTACCACTTGTCATTCTCTTTTTGATTTGGACAAATGGCATTTGCTCATATTTTTAGATTTTATTGTTTTCCACATGTAGTTATCTTTCGGAACAAATAAATGCCACATACTCACATAATCTTCCTTTTAATCTCATAATAAATTCAAAATCAATTTTAAAATAAATCATAATCAATGCTATAAATAATACCAGCACGAAAACAGTTTTCTTTCTAATGTATATCCATATGTGTCAATGTCTATTCGTGTAAATAATTGTTTACTGTTAAAAAGTTGATATTGATTTTTTTTCAATAAACCTGTGTAAAACACGAGTCTCACACCTAGTTGATGTGATATATTGTTTTCTTTCTAGCTTCTTGCAAGTTTTACTTTGAAATCTTTAAGTTGTTAAAAAAACTATGATTATTACAACTTAAAATAAGCACATCCAAACATCACCGAGTGCTTAAAAATATATATTGGGAATATTGGAACAATCAGACAGCCATTTAAAAAGTAATTTTATTAAACTAATATAGTTGTCAAGATCTTAAATCTAGTATATGTTCATGAAAACTATTTTAATTATGATTTATATGTTTACATGAAGTTTATGTATTTGCTTAAACTATTTTGAAAAATCATAAGAGAATGATTTACTACATCTATCACATCAAAGGAGCCAGCCAGACGCTACCCCAACTTATTCCAACTTCGTTTTAGAGTAAATTACATGAATGGTCCCTATGGTTTAGGGTAATTTATGCGTTTGGTCCCTAACTTATTTTTTTAACTAGAAAGGTCCCTAATATTTGTTTTTGTTACGCACTTGGTCCCTGTCTTATTTAAAATGACTATTTTGCCCTTGATTTTTTAATTTATTTAAATAAACACACCCTAACCCCATTCCATCACCTTACCTTACATACCCCACAATTTGTCCCTATTTAAATAATAGTATTTTTAGGTAAGCAGGGACTAAGTGTGTAACAAAAACAAACACTAGGGACTACGCACGTAACAAAAACAAATAATAGGGACCTTCTGAGTTAAAAAAATATGTTATGGACCAAACACACAAATTAACCTAAACCATAGGGACCATTCGTGTAGTTTACTCTTTGTTTTATCTTGTAAACTATTTTGAAGTGAATTTTCCAAATTTGCCCCTAGGCACTTTTTATGATGTAAGAACTCAGAAAATTTTGATGCAATTTAGGGTTAACCCACTCTACATCTATAAAAAAATATATCAATTTAACCACTCTAAACACAAAACAATCACAGTACCTTCTAATAATATACCCTCAATTACAAATATACCCTCATTTACCGAAATAATTGGCATTCAATTTGACAACTCAAAACAAAGAAACAACCCAGTCGGCCAATCATTCTCTCATCTCTCCCCTGTGTCTCTCTCTCGTTGTTCTTCACCACGCTTCTGATCTCCCTTGCAGACCACCGATCTCCGCTCCAGATCATCGGTGTCGACTTCAGCTTCAACCTCCACTTCCAATCTAGTAAGTAACATCTGCGATTTGGTTTCTCTCTCCTCTATGTCTCCGATTTTTTTCTGTTGACTGCATCTCTGAATTTTTCTGGTTCATCTGTTGACTTGACTGCATCTCCGATTTTTAACCCTTTGCTACACACAGTGGAATTTTTTAGTTCCTTAAGTTACAAATGGTTTTTCTTGGTTCATCTATTGGGTGTTGAATTCGAATTGAGAAAACTCGAAGGTGCTATGGAAGCCATCAATGAGACTTTCATTTTGGTCTCTTTTCTGGTTTCAAGTTGTTTCTAATGATTTCTGTGAAGCAGAGATGAGGGAAGCGACTGAAAAAGACGAATGCAAGAGTGGCTTGGTTTAGCATCATGTCTCTTGGTGGTTGCATTGCAGTTTCAGTTTTGCAGTTGTGGTACTCACTGAGTTGACTCAGTAATTTCAATACTTTTGAGATATGGAAAATGGTACAATTCTTGTATTGTTATGTACACTACATAATTTTTTTTTCTATATAATTCAAGTAGAAGGCTACAATGGAATTTCATTTTGGTCTCATTTGTGGTTTCACGTTGTTTGTAATGATTTGTGTGAGTGTATCATATTTGATTTCAAATTCATTGGTTAGGATTTGTAGGACAAGGAGCAAAAAATGGTAAAATTGATAAACATCGCTGAGTAACCTAATAAAATGAAGTGATGTTTTATACAAAAATAGTGAAAATAAGAAAGTAGTATAATCATGTCATTTTTGGTATTTTACCCCTAAAAAGCTAAGTCAAACATTTTTTAAAACCAACTTATTTGTTATTTAGTTTTCCCACCACAAAAGCTAACCCAAACATTTTTAAAATTTTTTTTTTCAAAAAACCATAAGCCAATAAACATTTTTCCTAAAAGTCACAAAAATGAACTCCCGAACACACCCTTATTATTGATATTGGTGCTGAAATTCACTATTACATTGAGATCCAATGCTGAAATTTACTATTACATTGAGATCCAATATACAGAGTTAGGTAAGACACAAATAAAATCTTGTATAGACAATGTGAGACACTAAAATAGTATCAACTGTGGTTTGGTATTTAGATAATGTATATATGTAAATTAATTGTAGTGTCAGAATGAAGTAATAATGAACTCATCACTATGGAGTCTATTGTTTCACTTCGTTTAGTTACAATTATTAATTTGTTCTTCTCGATTAACACTGGACAATCTTACAAAAGGAGAAATAACTTTATTAATTCATATAAAACTAAAATTACAAATGGGAAAAAAAAATCGACAACAATCATATGAGTATTCACACACACAAATTCAAATCTCAACACTCAATGTCGAACAATGTCCAACTATTATTGAAAAAAATACAAACCATAGCACATAACTTATAGTAATTATCCACTTAGGCATGGGAAAGGATCCGAACACTTAAATTTGCCAGCTGATTTGATGTTTTCTCATACTCATCAACATCAAGAAGCTTCCTTCCATTAACAATTTTGTGAGCCGCCTCCAAGGCTTTTTCTAGTTTTCCCATGTCTTCCTTCTTGATCTTTGTCTTGCCAGATTTTTTTATGCCTTTGATTTTGCTTTTCACACTATAAATGAAATCTTCCAAGTTACTACGTGCAACAGTCTTCTCCTTGTACTCCTCGTCGTCAAGTTTATGCCTATGTGCATCAATTATCATCTTCTTGATGTCTTCCTTTGAAAGCCTCTGCTTATCATGGCTAATTCTAACCTTCTTTTTTAGGCCGGTGGTTACTTCCTCACCTGAGCAATTTAAAATGCCATTAACATCTATGTTGAAAACCACTTTTACCTTTGACTTGCCTTTTGGTGCGCGTGGGACTGGGACTTGAAATTTTCCCAACCAATTATTATCTATAGACCTAAATCTCTCACCCTGATAGACATTGAAAGTTATAATTGTTTGGTTATCCTCTGACGTGACATAATCTCTTTCCTTGGTCGTCGGTTTTGGTGTATTTCTTTTAACTATAACACTCAGTGAGCCATCATGAACGTTTACACCAAGTGACAATGGGATGACATCAATGAGATGCAATTTGTTCACTTGTAGACTTGTATTTCCACTCAACTTTGCAGCAAGAACAGACGCCCCGTATGCAACAGCCTCATCTGCATCGATCTTCTTGCAAAGCTCTTTCCCATTGAAGAATTCTTTCAACAAATGTTGTACCTTGGGTATCCTAGTTGACCCACCAACAAGCACCACCTCATCTACATCTTTTTTATTCAAATCCGCATCATGTAAACAACTCTCTACCATCTTTATGCATTTAGTAAAGAAGTCTTGATTTAGATGTTCAAACTTTGCACGAGAAATTTTCATAGAAAAATCAACACCCTCATGCAAAGCATCAATTTCGATAATGGTTTCCATGGCTGAAGAGAGAACCCGTTTTGATTTTTCACAAGCCGCCTTCAACCGTCCTAGTGCTTTTGTATTCCCACTCATGTCTTTTTTGTGCTTTTCATTGAATTGCTTCACGAAGTGGTTCACCATTAAGTTATCGAAGTCCTGACCACCTAAGTTAGTGTCACCCGCAACAGCTTTCACTTTAAAAGTACCTTTTTTATCAATGGTGACAAGTGAGACATCAAACGTACCACCACCCAAATCAAATATGAGCACATGTGTGTCACGAGTTATATTGGTACTCCTGTCTAGCCCATAAGCAATTGCAGCTGAGGTAGGTTCATTGATTATTTGTAGAACATTAAGTCCTGCAACAAAACCGGCATCCTTTGTGGCTTGGCGTTGGGAATCATCAAAATAAGCTGGCACCGTGATAACGGCATCTAACACGGTATCACCAAGGTATGCCTCTGCAGTTTCTTTCAGTTTGATAAGAACCATGGATGAAATCTCTGCAGCGAAAAACTCCCTCTTTTCACCCTTGTATTCTAGTGCAATCTTTGGGATGTTGTTAGCCCCTTTAATAACTTGAAAAGGCCATAACTTCATGTTTTGTTGAAGTTTGGGATCATTGAATCTTCTTCCAATCATTCTTTTCGCATCTGAAGATCAACTAAGTATGTAATCGCCAACGAAAAATAACGACTTTTCTGAAAAATGTAAATGTGTTTTTGGTTGTAGAAAACTGTTTTTATTTTTCAAGAAAATGTTTTTAGAAAACTGAGTTGAGTTGAGTTTTCATTTTCGGTTTTTCAATGAAAATTTTAGAAAACGCGTTTTGTTGGAACCCATGTTAGCAATTTAGAAAACTTTGAAAATTTTAGAAATCACTTTTCAAATTTACATACAATTTGGAAAATTGAAAATTTTCATTTTCTTGGAAAACTTTTGAAAACGGAATCAATGGAAGGCGTTTTGAAAATTTTCATTTTCATTTGAAAATTTTCATAAAAAACTAGAAAATTTTCCTCAACTAAACGCACTCTAAGTGTTTTAAAGGACTAAAGGTATATAATACAAACCGTAAATCGTGGACAAAGGGTGTGAACCCAACTTGTTCTTAGCACCTTCACCTATTACACGTCCTACATCGGTGAATGATACACAAGATGGCATAGTCCTATTCCCTTGATCATTGGGTATGATCTCAACCTGGTCATTTAGCCAAACACCCACACAACAATATGTTGTACCAAGATCAATGCCAATTGCAGGTGCAATACCATTTCCAGCCATTATACTTTAAAATCAAACCTGCAATATTCATGAAACAAGTGACCATTATTCATTTTTGATTTTCGATCTTTATATTGATGCAACTTCCAAACTATTTGTGTTTACCCAAAATAAACACTTTCCATCCTAAAAAAAACCAAAAAAAAAAAAAACCAAAAAAAAAACAAAAAAAAAACCAAAAAACAAAACAAAAACAATTACAACTAATTTTAACTTTCATCTTAAGTTTCGTTTTTAGTTATTTAAGTTTCCAAAAAAACATTTCACTAGCGATATCCATAAAAGCATCTCCAAAAGAGACCTATTTATAGTTTTTTACTATTTCATTAACCACTGATAACTATTTAATATCATTGGAGTTTGAATTTTTTGACCAAATAAGTGTTTTTTTTTTAATATTTACCATATAAGTATAGTTTTAAACTTATTTACCAAACAAGGGTAAATACGTGTGTTTAGCGATCAACAAAAAGAAAAACCTATCGTGCCCTACTCCTTCTCTTGCTGAACGGACGCGGGAACAATGTTGAAAGAAAACTACACTCACCATCGGCTGCCATATCCGCCCACACCTCCATCTTCGGCCACACTTCTAGCTGGCAACTCTACCTCTGGCCAGAAGGCGGCAACTCCTCCGTCCACTCCTCCAATCGGCAATTCCATCTCTTATTCAAATTTTGAAATCCATCTCAGCTTCGATTTAGTATTTTCATCTTCAATTTATGCCTTGTTTTGGTTTATTGAATACACATTGTTGAACGTTGTCTTCATTCTATAAGATTATCAGTTGATTAGGTGGTGATTTCGAACTTCTTGTTTGTTACTATCATGATTTATATTGAATGGTCAAATATCTATGATGTTTTACACATCTAACCACTTCATCTTTAATTATATTTTATTTTTAGCCCCTTATTATATTCTAATTTTAAATATTTGATGTTTCTTTAGATAATTATTATATTCGCTGAATATATATATATATATATATATATATATATATATATATATATATATATATATATATATATATATATATATGCTCCCAGCAAAAAAACTGTTTTTTTGTTGATTTGTTTTTTCCAAGATTAAGTGGTGTGTTATGAAAACCGGGTTGACCTGACAATTGACCAATTACTGAAACCAATGTTTTAAAAATCGGTTTTTTAGTTGAACCGGTATGATGACCGGTTCCCGGTTTAACCGGTTCAACTGCCGGGTCAACCGGTTTCTATAACTTTCATCATTTTTCTATTTTCTTACACATACATACATACATATATAAATCATGAATTTGACGTTTACTACTTCAAACATTAAAAATATACATAAAAATAAGTTCTAGATCAATCCAAATACATTAAAATAACACATAACCGTAAGTTTTATTGTTTTACATCAATCCACATACGTTAAAATGAAAATAAAATATAATACCGAAACAAAATATAATTTTAGGTGAATACAGACACATCAAAAAACATTATAACATTTACCATATATTTTTATTTAGAGAAAACTAAATAGATTTAAAAAAATCACCAAAGTTTATTATACAAATGGTTCCTTCTCATGTGTTTTTATTCGGTTTAATCAGTTCAACCGGGTTTTTCTAAAAACCGACCGGTTCAATCCGGTTTAGAAATCGACATAAAACCGGTGATAGTTGAACCGCTTTCTCCCCCGGTTCCCGGTCCAACCGCTTCGACCGGACGGTTCAAACCGCTTTTAAAACATTGACTGAAACGGGGTCAACTTAATATTTTGGTTTAAAACATTGATTAATATGTGAGATAGAGAGAAAAGAGAATCCAGCATGAAATCTTATTACTATATTTGAGTTGAAGACTAACCGTTTATTTTGTAGTTGATCGTGGTTGATCACTCGTGTTCGTGTGTATCTCTTATACTCTTATTTTCCTGCATTTACATTAATTAGAAACACGACCAAGAAGGCAAGAACACATTAAAGTCGAATCCTTTTGGATTCGAATTTTGAGCCAACTCCTTTTGTTTCAGAATAAATTATCCACAAACTAAGAAAATAAGTCATGTATTTGATATGATTTCGTACATATATATGTGTCATTCGTATGAGCCAAGTAAATTCTGTATTTTTTTTATCAAGCAAATTGCCTTAAAAAGTATATATTAAAGATTACAATATGAGACAAGGCTAATAAAATTTACACATAATAAATTAATGATAGTATATAATACTACTTTGTATGAAGTATTTAATACTACTTACCTTTTCCGAATGAATGTATGAATCCTCTCCTGCGCATCCCTTCATTTATATATGGACTTTATGTATTCATACCAATTCCAAAATTATATTTCTTTTCCTTTTCTATTATTTTACAATTTTTAAAGACTTGGAAGTCGTCGTATAATATCCGAGAGTATTAAAAGACTTGGTGGTATATACCCACTTGGTTTTGTGAATTATTGAGTTTTAACCAAATAAATGTTTTTGAAAAATATCTAGATATACTTTTAGGATTACTTAGCAATTTAGTACTATAAGAAAAAGATGGTATCTATCCTTTCATATTCTTCTTTCACACGTTTATACGGACCAAAAATGTATGATTTTCTTATTTTTTTTTTCCTATTCACTGAATTCTTCATTGTTTTTCTTTCTAATATATATATATATATATATATATATATATATATATATATATATATATAGAGAGAGAGAGAGAGAGAAAAGAGGATTCAATTGAGAAAAAAAAAAGGTTGAGAATAGGGTAATCATTCTCAGCCACACATTTATTTTGCCGCAAAATAAATGGATAACGGATAAACATGTGTTTTCCAACCAAACATGTTTCCTTAAACTATGTTAATCATTACCTTAATATACACAAAACCATACTTTTTTTTTGTTTTTTTTATTTTTAGAAAGTCATTTTTATCGAAAAACTATTTTAAATATATCAAAATTCATAATTTTTTATTCTCTATAAATAGACATCCATATTGATATAGTTTTAAGATAAAATAATTTTTTTTTAGAGTTTCAGCTCTCGTTATTCATAAGTGAATAAAAATCTATCAGATTTTTATTACAGTACATTCGTTATTCACTTATGGGCGTGTTCGGCACGGAGCTTTTGGGAGCGTTTGAGAGCTTCTAGCTTCTAGCGTTTGACAAAACGCTCCGTTTTGAATAGAAAGCTTCGTTCGGCACTACAAGCTTCTAGCGTTTAGTTTAAACAAAACGCTTCAAATCCAAAAGTTACGTGTGGCTCTATGACTCAAGCGGCTTAACACGGGCCCGTTAGCTCCGTCAGTGACAATTTGAGATAATGATACAACACAACGAGGTCTTTGGTATGGAAAAGCTGAAATTATATTTTGGTTTCAGTTTTTATTTTATTTTATTTTATTTATTTATTTCCATCGGGTATATATATATATATATATATATATATATATATATATATATATATATATATATATGATTGAATAGAAATAAAAAGAACAAGAATATGGAGAGCCTTTACACCATCTCCAACCCATCTTCATTTTTTCCTCCATAAATGGATTAAAAAATGAGGTAAATAGTGTTTAATCTTCAATCCTATTCCATTTTCTATCTCGTTTTTTACTCTAAAAAGTTTATTCCTAGAATATTCTAATTTTATAACTTATATATATTGTCAAATGCACCCCTCTATTAATTAGATTTTAACAAATACATATTATATTTTTTTCAGTACAAAAATATTACAAATTATATTATCATGAATAAAATATTTATATATAATAAATTTAAATTAATTATTACTTTATTATTAATAATTATTAAATAAATAAGATTATATTTATAGTAATATATCAAGATCACGATCATATTTGATTGTTATATTTTATAAATTATGTTATCGTGTTTCAAATCTTTAGTATACATTTAATTTTTTTTATATGAATTCAATAAATAAATATTAAACTCTATATTTATGAATACTTAATATGAGTTAGTATATAACATGATATTACAAATATTAAATATTGCATTTAAATTATAATTAGTAGACAAAAATAAACTAAAAATGTATAAAATAAAAATAAGAAGGACTAAAATTGACAATCAAAAATTCAACTCTATTTTTGGAGATATGAATAGTATAACCCCAAATATGGGGGAATACTATTCATATCTCCAAAAATGGAGATGTAAATGAGGTAGGGTTGGAGGAGAATGGGGAAGAAATGGAGAGAAAATGGAGTTTGGAGGTGGGTTGGAGATGTTCTTAGGGGAACAAACTCAAATCTTCACCTAAACCTAAGAATTCTTGACACGATATAAAACCGACACGAAGACAAATTGATTTGGGTTGAGTTTTCCAACCCGTCAACCCGTTTATTAAATGGGTCGTGTTTGGGTTTGCTAAAAAAATCACGGGTTGACCCATGACCTGTTTACGTTTTTAAATTTATTATATATATATATATATATATATATATATATATATATATATATATACTAGCCGTTTACCCGCGCTAAGCGACGGGTGTGAATAATGTCTTTCAGAAATTAGTTTCTAGAAGGCGATTAATTTTTCTGCACACATGTTTTTTTGCGAATAATGTCTTTTAGAAATTAGTGTGCAGCATAAACGATCAACTAAAGAAATTGTGTTTTTAGCTCGGACTCCATGTTATTGTCAGAATAATGGTTAAGTTTTACATCTAACTTGCAGCAGCCAACAAATGACCAGAAAACATAGAAAATAGGAAAAGAGCTAGAACTTTTGAACTGCAATAGGTTGCTTCATGTAATCAAATGCAGGAAATCACAATGTACATTCCTTCATAAAATGGACTATTTGCAAAAGATAGCAAATTTATTTATTATTTAAGTTACAAAATTATAATTTTCATAAAAACATTTAATATAACATTTCTCTAGTTTTCAAGTGTTAAATAGAATCCTACCAAAACCATACCAGAAAACAACAAAAATGAAAATGTGTTGTCTTTTCATGCTAGGAAAACTATATTACCAGAAACAAAAAATGGAAGTTTATGGCTTTTCCTACACAAAACTACACCAAGTGACCAAACCAAAACAAATTAAAGATCATTACCCTTTCATGCACACAACTATCCCAGGTAAAATAAAACCAAAAAAAATTGAAACACAAACTAAGTTACAACATAAACTAAAAAGGGCATCATGTAAGTAACTAAAGGGAAATTGCATCCATAGTTTTAAAGCACGGACTTGAATTACATTGCTGTTTTTTACCATTTGACCTTAATAACATTCAACTTAAATTAAACCAAAAAAGAATTTTATGTTTTTTTTCTATTATTTCGAATACAATTATATGCTTCTTATTTGCACATTGTACTTTGAAAATTCCAACCATTTATAGCAATAATATGAAATAGTCTTAAAATTACAATACCCTAATATGTAATAATTTAGTGGTTCTAACCCAATACATGCCCTAATTAAGGGTAAACCAGCCAACTTACCTATCAAAATATGGCCATAGAACCATCATAACTTAGTTGTTATGGTCATTATCACACCATAAATTATGCAAGCTAAAAAAGTTATATACGATAGAAAAGTAAATTATTATATAAAGATAAACATCTATATATTATAAAGAAGAAATAGGGCAATTGGTAACATGTAA